TTTCCATGTCACCTATAAGATAATATTGCTGATGCATTTTTTTAAAATGATATCCTAAGTAGGCCTAATATTATACTGATAACTGAAAAGACTAACTGTTTGGACAAAAGTAAAAAAGGACGCATAGAAATATATAATATGTGTAAGAAAAAACAATAAATCAGATTTAATTCGATTTCCGAAATTTTTTAGAGACGAGAGACGAAATATCGTCTTGTATATTAGAAGTAGTGATTCGTACAAGATGCAGTAAAGAAGAGTCGCTTAATAAAGAACGTTTTTTAGAGAGGGAGGGAGGGAGAAGAGGAAGTAATAGAGGAAAATAGAAGGAGAGAGGAAGAGAAAGGAAGAAAAAGGGGGAGAGAGGGAGGGGGAAAGAGAGAGAATTATATAGAAAATATTTTATATACACAAAAACTCCAAGATTTATATCAGTGTTTCACTATTCTGTATTAACATGCAGCACTCGGACGTATAGTATATATTATATTTTTTTAAATTATGCATTTTAAATGCCAAGAGCTTTTTATAAAATGTTTGAATTGTAACGTGACGATTTTTAATTATCGCCCGTTACTGGGAAAAAGTCGTAAGGAAGCCTTGAAGCAAGCTTCCCGGCTGCAGTGGATGTCGCGTCCTAGCCGTGAGGCAAATAGGACGCGAAACTACGCAGCCCTCAATTACTTTTGTGTATAAAAATACGGAGGTCGAGTCAGGAAGAAGAAGACCAACATCGGGGAGGATTTGTTGCCGCCGTGGGAGAGGAGGAATCCTTGAGAAGAGCATCGGAAGGACCGGTTGTTTCAGGTGAATCGCTTTCATAAATAATAAGATTAATTAGAGACCCACAGGGTGGGTCACTCTAAAAAGGCCTGTTTTAGCTAACACCCAGAACGTCGAGAAGGAGCTGTCGAAGTGGAGCGGTCACGAGCTGCCGAAGTGGAGCGGTCACGAGCTGCCGCGAGGACGGAGTTGACTGACACCGTGGACGAGCGGAGGACAGCTGCCGCCAGGGCAACGCCGGTGAGCGTATCCTCCGCGACCCGGAGCGTCCTCCGAGCCGAGCGAAGACGCCGCAAGGCTCGGGGACCGACTAAAACAACGGCTGCTGATAGAACAAAGCCAAGTCGAAACGATCAAGAGGCTTAGGAAATCGACGAAAGGCAAACAGTCGCCAGAAACCAAAAATGGAAAATGGGGGATTTCATCCTACTAATCAGAGGCTGAAGGCTGTCGGAGCAAGCGATTCAAACTTGGGATAAAACCGGGCTTCAACGATCGCTCTTTTGCCGATATCTGCCGAAGCACAGAAATCTGTGAAGGACGTGCCATCCGCTGAGTCGAGAAGGACAGAGATCAGGAAACGACGACTCGATTTCACCCCGTAAGGCCGCTACCGTCTAAGGGTCAAACTTTTGTGAACCCGGAGGGACCGCCGCTGCCTGCTGTCGACTGCCTCGTTCCGTGCGCACGGTTTTTGGTGAATCCGTTCTAAAGAGAACAAACAAATCTTTTGTAATTCGCGTCGCGGAGCGGTTGAGGCGTCAACGAGCGAGAGCCCGGCCGTCCACCTGGGCGAGGGCGAGGGTTCGCGTCCCTCTTGCGAGTTCGGGAAAAGCTCCGGGTATCGTTGCAATCAATTTCAACTGCTGAACATCCGCCGTTGCCGTACGAGCGAGCAAGTACACTACTGAGAGCGTACGTGGCTGTCGTGACCTTCGTCGGTCATGACTTGTAATACGCGCTGCCGAATACCCGTATCGCGACCGCGAACAAGGATTCGACTTATTGTTGTTGTATATCGTTGTCGAAATAATATCCAACTGTTATCCGCTGACGACTAATAAAATTGTGTTCGAGAAAATTACAAGTCTCGTACTTTTGACAACCGCCGTTACTCCTATCACCTCCGATCTATTGTGAACCAGCCCCTCTATCGCGAGCAGGGCTGAGCTGCCGGTTTTCGCGCGAGCCGTTCGGGCGGAGGACGAGTTGTACTTGTCGACGAGACCACTTAGTGCTTAGTAATTTTGGTTGGTACTTGGCGCCCATTAGGTTTTAAGCTGTCGGGTCTTGCCAAATCTGCTGAACGGTCAAGTAGGCAAATAGCATTTTGTCTTGCACCCGTGGGCCGACTGCACGGATCGAAAAAGTGTAGCGTCACAGAATATACTCAGAACTATACGAAAATTTTTTAAAATGATCAAAACTTCGATATTTCGACCAATGTCTCAATCCATATGCTCATTACAATATTATCAATACATGTATTGGTAATGTATTGTGACTAGAAATTCCAAAAATAATGGGTCAATAAAAATAAAGATAAGAAAAAAATTTATTCTCCGCGTTCTATTATATTTTGAAAAAGTGCTTATAAATATATATGTGATATGTATAACTCGTGTGATTTCTAAATCCAGTCTCCCTTAGATAGTTACACATTAATGAACGTTGTACATTAAAGAAATAACAGATTATTTGTTATAGATATCAACCGCTATGAAAAATTACTTTCCATATCAACTTTTCGAAAACTAGACGACCAATGATTTTGTCACTCTATAATAGTTCTATAAATCTTTCTTTTATTATCTTTGTGATTTTCATTAAAAGCATAAGAGTAATTCGATTGCTAAAATTAAAAAAAAAAATGATATCGGCATTCGTTTTGTATCTGTAATATACAGGGTGCTTCAGAAACAGTTGACCAAACTTTGCGAGAACGTAGAACGGATTGAAATGAGTAAGAAAGTCCCATACTGTTTTGTGATATTCGCAATAAATCTCAAGATATTAATTAAAAAACATTGGTGAATGATCACGCGCGATATGGTAGATGAGCTGCAGTAGCGCCGTCTGCAGTTGTATATTTATATATTAGATCAAACTGAACCAAAAAAGTTCTCTACTATTTTGTAAATGGCCACATAGTTTTGTAAATATTAATTAAAGAAAATTGTTACATGATTGTGTACCATAATGCACAAATTTTCTTTAATTAATATTTAAAAATCTATGTGGTCATTTGCAAAATGGTAGAGGACTTTTTGTTCAGTTTGATCTAATATATAAATATATAACGGCAGACGACATCACTGCAACTCATCTACCATATCACGCATGATTATTTACCAATCTTTTTTAATTAATATCTTGAAATTTTTTGCGAATATCGTAAAACGTACGGTAAAATGGGACTTCGTTGCTCATTTCAATCCGTTCTACGTTCTCGCAAAGTTTGGCCAACTTTCTGAAGTACCCTGCATATGTAACTTTAACTTCAATTATTTCAGTTTTGATACGGTTAATCTTTTTCTAATTGTACATGTGTGTGAATTATATATTTGTTAATATATTGGGTGTACAACTTAGTTCGGTCCGTTTTCAAAAGATGGCTCTAGGTGCTATAAATGGTTGACGGCGACAGCTGATTTTTGCTGTATCGTAAAGTGTCAACATCTGTCAACCAAATATTGTTTACAAGCCTTTGAGTTTTGCACAACAAGTTTAATTTTTACTGCGTTGAAAATGTCGAGTTTCGTTCCAAATAAGCACCATTTGCGAGAAGTTTTGATTTTCTGTTTCAATTGGAAGAAAAGTGCAGCTGAAGCGCATCGAATGCTTGTGGAAGTTTATGGTGAATCTGCACCGTCGGATAAATCTTGCAGAGAATGGTTTCGACGATTTCAAAGTGGTGATTTTAGTGTTGAAGACAAAGAGCGTTCGGGTCAACCGAAAAAGTTTGAAGATGAAGAATTAGAAACATTACTCGATCAAGATTCGTGTCAAACGCAAAAAGAGCTCGCAAGAACATTGGAAGTTACTCAACAAGCTATTTCGAAACGACTCAAAGCCGCGGGATACATCCAAAAGCAAGGAAATTGGGTCCCATACGAATTGAAACCGAGAGATATCGAACGACGATTTTGCATGTCCGAAATGTTGCTTGAACGGTACAAAAAGAAGTCTTTTCTGCATCGAATCATTACCGGGGACGAAAAATGGATTCACTACGACAACCCGAAACGCAAAAAATCGTATGTAAAGCCCGGCCAACCGGGAACATCAACGCCGAAGCCGAATATCCATGATGCCAAGGTAATGCTCTGTATTTGGTGGGATCAGAAGGGTGTGATCCACTATGAGCTGCTAAAACCTGGTCAAACCATCACGGGAGACTTCTACAGGCGACAATTGATCCGTTTAAAGCGAGCTATAGCCGAAAAACGTCCAGAATATGCGACCAGACACGAGTCCATAATCTTTCACCATGACAACGCTCGCCCTCATGTTGCTGTTCTGGTTAAAAACTATTTGGAAAATAGCGGATGGGAAGTTCTGTCTCACCCTATTCTGGCCCGCCTTATAGCTTAGACCTTGCCCCTTCCGACTACCATTTGTTTCGATCGATGCAGAACGCTTTGACTGGAATACACTTCACTTCAGAACAGGGTATCAAAAATTGGCTCGATTCATTCTTGGCTTCAAAAGATGAACGCTTCTTCCGCGACGGAATCCATAAATTGCCAGAAAGATGGGAAAAAGTAGTGGCTAGCGATGGACAATACTTTCAATAATGTATTAATTCATTTTATCATTCAAATAAATGCGTTTTTCAAGCAAAAAAACGGACCGAATTAAGTTGTACACCCAATATTATTAAAATTTAAGAAGATTTTTAAGAGAAAGGGTTTACGCACTAACTATCTTAATTAATATCTCAATAATATTGTGATTGCAATGATAAAGTAATGATAGAAGATTTTTTTATTTAGTTTAATGAGTTTTGTGTGTGTGTATGCTTGTATATACGAATAAATGTACGTGTTGTGTCAAATATTTGGTATCTATCCCCAGATCAGAATGTTACTAATCCTCCTTATATCAAGTTGTTTCTGATGGACTCAATTGGATCCGATCAAGTAAAATCGACCGAACGTAAGGATACGCGTTGGATACGCCAAAAACAAGATCAACACATACGATGTTGTACTTACGTCGGTTACGACCTTTAATGTTTTAATATAAGCTACTTCAGTCTGCGTTAACTCCCACAGAGCGGTTTGTTGCTGTTGCTGCTTCTCCGAGAGTTGATCGGAATTCTCTACGATGTCACGCCAGTCGTCTTCTAAACTATACAGCGCTGAAACAATATCGTAATAATGCGTTTCGATTATCGCTATAGCAAGTTGAGTGGTTTATTCAAATTGCATCAGTGAGAACAAACAAGTAGGTTAGATGATTAGAATATTGCTTGTTGCTTGAAACAACTGCGTAACTTTATAGCGAAGTGTATGTATATTACATTTTATTTAATCATATTTTTGGATTTCTCGTTAAAAATTTTAAATTTAAATTTTTTTTACCGGTTCAATTTTGTCTTTCAAACTTGCGATTTGCATTAATCCTCACATGGTATACTGGAATTATTTTTGATTTCACTCAATTTTTAATTTTAAATTTGCAAATAAATTTTTAATTTATATTTGCAAGCTAGTAGAATGAGTAAAAAATATTATAGTTGATAGAAATATGATGTTTAAATACGTTTGAGACTTTTCAATTATCTTTCATCTAACAAAAAGATAAAATTGCTCTCGAGTTGTTCTTGAACTTACAAAGGGAACACTAGGTGACTGCTCTTGGGATTTTGATACGCATTTTACAGGCTGTTCTTGGGCGAAAAAAAACGACACGTGTCAGCCAATGGGCCATAGTGTCGAAGAAATCGATTTTTAAAAATGACTCTAGTCGGTTGCGGCACACTTGATACATTCGATCGTCACTATTGAACAGCAGCAACGGTAACGCAGTAGGTAAGACGTTGGATTCGTACACAGTAGGTTACGTGTTCAAATCTCGTCTCGTGCATTTCTTTTGTTTACAGATTTTTTACAGATAAGAACAAATTTTTATTAAAAAAATTACACGAGACGAGATTTGAACATGCAATCTACTGCGCCCGAAGCCAACGTCTTACACCCAAAAAAAAATATTCTACGTACAAAGTGAATTTTTCTAACTCCATATTCTAAAAGAAATATCTTACAGAAAGCATATTCATTTTTCATTAAAGGGAACTACTCATCGTGTATTTATGAGATATTATTCTAATTGTGTTCCTCTATATCAAGAGGAATGTTAATTTGAAGCATAATGTCATCTTACGTGCAGTAAGGGAGACGCGAAGAACTGTTGTTTCGCTGTGTACTATCGTGTACGATTGGTTGATATCAAGCGCCACGCTTAGAGCTTCCACCGTCAATTCACTGTCGACGTTTCAATCAAATCGATGTTGAAATCGTCAAACCGACGTCAATTTGATATCATTTTGACGTTAATCAACGATTTCACTGGGTACATAGATGTCACAAACATGAAGTCTTAAATGGCTCAGTGGAAAGAGCGGTTGCCTGACAAACGGGAAGAACCTGGATTCGATCCCAGCCGAGTCTGATGTTTTTCATCTCACATGGCATTAAAAGTGGACATCTACAGATATACACACAAACACTTCGGTCAAAGTTTTCTGATCTTTCTTTCGTGTGGATGCGATAAAATTTATTAAATCCAAAGAAATATTTTGAGTTGAAGTAATATGTAAGAGAAAATTTAAATTAAGAACAAGTAGATTTGCACTGTACATTCAATATGAAATTCCTCTATTTAAAAATTGTGTTTAAGATTATTTTTCTCTTGATTTCAAAGCAATCCTCTTGAGGCCATACCTCTATATATATATATATATATATATATATATATATATATATATATATATATATATATATATAAGAGTAAAATCCTTTAAGATTTAAAGAATTTCACTTCTATTAAAATATAAATTAATATCTATATAAATTATTTTTTGGTGTATATCTATATAAATTTTTTTTTGGTGTATCTATTGCGCTATCGCTGCTGCTGTTCAATAGTGACGGTCGAACACTGAGAGAAAAATGTATGATATTTGGAACTATAATGGCATAGTAAAAATATTATAGTTAAGAATATAATTTTTATAGTAAATGTTACCATAATATTTGTAATATTTACAATATAAGTATAGTATAACTGACCCGTGTAAAATTTTTACCAAGAATTATAATTATTTGAAATAAAAAATATGGTAAGGTGGCAAATATTGAATGGTAAGAGAAATTAACTATTTTATATAGTCAATACAATTTATTTATATTTGGCAAATATAGGTACATGTAACTATATTCCCAAAAGGTGCTTTACCATATATATAGAGTAATAAGATGGTGACTATAAATCTGTGTTCATTCTACTATATCTTCATGTTTAGATGAACTATAAATATATGTTTGAGGCCAAAACGAACTATAAAATATAGTGAGATTATAGTTATTCCAACTATTTTTTTCTCTCAGTGAACGTATAAAGTGTGCCGCGGCCGACTAGAGTCATTTTTACAAATCGACTTCTTCGAAACTATGGTCTATTGGCTGAAATGGCCAGACACGTGTCATTTTTTTCGCTCAAGAACAGCCTGTAAAAAGCGCATTAAAATCTCCGGAGAAGTCACCTGGTGTTTCCTTTGTTAGTATATTAAGTTAAGGTATCAAAAAATATAAAATAAAGATTATTTTCTATTATAATTTTTTTTCTTTATTAATATATATATATTTTATTTAATAATAAAATATATAACAAAAGTTTTATGTAAGCAGCTTATTTATTGTTTGTTATATTATTAGGTGTACAACTTTGCTTTCGCCGTTTTCCTATAGATGGCTTTAGCGCTAAGTGGTGGTCGAAATAAATAGATCATAGACGTCATACAATAAACTGTCATAGAAACATTAGTCGATTTGTGTCTGCATCATAAAGTTATTCTCGATTGAAAATGTCAGTTTACGAGCCAAACTCTCGTCATTTGCGGGAGGTTTTAATTTTCTGCTTCAATATGAAGAAATCTGCGGCTGAGGCTCATCGAATGCTCTCAAATACTTATAGTGAGGCCGCTATTAGTGAAAGAACGTGTCATGAGTGGTTTCAAAGCTTCGGAACGGTGATTTTGACGTCGAAGACCGGCATAGCGGTGGAAGAGAGAAGGTTTTCGAAGATGCAGAATTGGAGGCATTACTTGATCAAAACTCGTGTCAAAATCAAGAAGAATTGGCACGATCATTGGGAGTGACTTAACAAGCCATTTCAAAACGCCTCAAAGCCATGGGAATGATTCAGAAGCAAGGAAATTGGGTGCCGTACGAATTGAAGCCGAGAGATGTTGAACGGCGTTTGTTTGCTTGTAAACAGCTGCTTGAAAGGCAAAGACGGAAGGGATTTATGCATCGCATTGTGACTGGGGACGAAAAATGGGTTCATTACGATAACTCCAAGCGCAGAAAATCATGGGGAGTTCCCGGCCATGCTTCCACGTCGACGGCTAAACCGAATATTCACGACTCCAAGGTCATGCTCTGTATTTGGTGGGACCAGCTCGGCATAGTGTATTATGAGCTGTTAAAACCGACTGAAACAATCACAGGCGATCGGTATCGAACGCAATTGATGCGTTTGAGCCGAGCATTGAAAGACACGATAAAGTGATTTTGTAGCATGATAATGCTCGATCCCATGTTGCGAAAGTGGTCAAGACATACTTGGAAACGTTGAAATGGGAAGTCCTACTCCACCCGTCGTATTCTCCAAACGTTGCTCCCTCTGACTATCACTTGTTTCGATCAATGGCACATGGCCTGGCTGACCAGCACTTTCGGTCTTATGAAGAAGTAAAAAATTGGATCGATTCGTGGATCGCCTCAAAAGATGACCAGTTTTTTTCGATGCGGGATTCGTACGCTATCCGAAAGATAGGAGAAAGTAATGGCCAGCGATGGACAATTTAAATCATAAATGTATAACCAGTTTTTTACAATAAAGCCTCGAATTTCGGAAAAAAAAACGGCGGAAGCAAAGTTGTACACCTAGTATTAAGTAATATTTATAAGAATTATATAAAACATTTATAAGACACTATTAAAAACGATTAAAAATTATATATAATATCAACGTTAAAAATGTAGACATTATTTTTTTTGCGGTAATTATGCATTTTAACGGCAACTTCCAATGATCTTGATCTTGACATATGTTATAGAGGTCAGCCTCTTAAGTAACCTTAAAAAAATTTTAGGCGCTCGTTGTTTCTTAAAAAATTATTAACAAAAGAAGTTGTTCATTTGATCTGTAGATTTGCATACATACACACACTACTTGGGCGAGCGCACAGGCAACTAAGTAGTGTGTGTGTGCGCGCGCGTGTGTGTGTGTGTATGTGTGTAGCAAGCATCTTCCTAGCTTACAAATTCGTTGTTTTATATACGGTGTCCAAAAATTACATTTATTTTATGCAACTTCTTTTGTTAATAATTTTTTAAGAAACAATGAGCGCCGCCTAAAACTTTTTGAGAGTTACTCAGGAGGGTGACCTCTATAACATATGTCAAGATCAAAGTCATTGGAGGTTGCTCCGTTAAAATGTATGATTACCTTTTTTGCTTACTGGGAAGTAAATATTTGCAATTATTTCTGTATGTAATTTTATATTCTTGAAAATATATTTATAACTTTACATAGACTTTTATTAGCATTTTTACGAAATTTAAATAAATGTGGGCAGAAACGAAAAAGTGTGTATTAAAAATTGAAATGTCTAAAATGAGTGTTATGTAAGGATTAATAATAATATTAGATTAGATTCAAAAGAACAATGCTTTACAAATAAAACTTCCGGAAAAAAAATTATATAAATGAAAAACGTTCTTTATAATTTTTACAGGTACGAGATAAACGAGATAAACAATAGGGAAAAGAAAGATTGAGAAGAACGAGGTAAGAAACAGAGAAACAGAAAGTAAGAGAGAAAGAAAGATAAAATGAGAAAGAGAGAGTGAAAAGAGTGAGAGAGTGAGTGAATAAACGAGTGAGTGAGCAAGTGAGTAAGTGAGTGAGCGAATGAGTAACCTCTTGTCCACAACCTTGCTTTAATTCTTAAGCCGTAAGAAATTGACTAACAACAGTTCATTATTTTTAAAATAATCGACTGTAGTTGGTCGTTTATTACGGCTTAAAGATTAAGGCAAGATTGTGGACAAAGGATAAGTGTGAGTGAAG